CCTAAAGTATAACCATTGCAGGAGACAAATCTTAAGAATATAAACAAATAATTGCATATAAATATAAAACTGTTATATCAGTCTTAAATGGAATTAACTTAGAAATCTAACAGCCACCATTATCCATTAAAAAACAGAATGTTTCGCACAAACTTTACTTATTTCATCAAATCTAAGAGAGCATTGCATGCAGGACACACCATTAATTTAAGTAACTTTTTTTTTTATCAGTTAAGGTGCAGTAAGTTTTTATGCAGAAAAAATGTTGGCATCTAAGAGATTAGCACCAGAAGGAAAGTGCTTCCCCCTCTAGGGCAGGCAGGATAGTGGGCAGGTGAACTGCTTGTCGATTTTGTCTGTTTTCAAAAAGGCAGCCCTTCCTTTCCTTGATCTCTGCTTTGATTTTTCCACAGCTCTCCCCACCCTTTCAGTCTTTTGATCACTTACCCCATTATCCCTTGCCCTCATCTGCTGTGGCCAATATTTTAAATTCGGAATGATTTTCACTGAAATTTGCCAATGAGAAAAACCTCTATTAAATTTGGAAGACAAAAGTGAAGCAGAAAATGTCATTTTCAGGAGAAGCCAATGACCAGATAAAGACTTTGCAAACCTCCCCATTGGTTCTAATACATTCAAGGCAGCCAGAAGCAATAGCTTCTCAGACATATCCATGATCTTTGGCTCGTCCATCAGCCTTTGGCTTTAGTATGTAGTTTCCCAGTCTTTCATGCAGTTAGTTCACTGCTCAAGTTCTACCTCTCCAATAATTGTGTGCATGTTTTTCTGACAAAATAGATTGTTACAATTCCCAGAATACTATTTCTATGTTTTCAGAATCTAAAATTAATTAATTAGCCTGTCTGTATTGGTTCCATGGTCCATAGGTTCTCTAATTTCTCACCTACGTATGATTTTGATTATATTTTAAAATCTGATGCTTAAAAATACTGAATAGATGACACAGATGAATATCTACATGGAAAGAATGAATTTGGACCTCCTACTTGACACCATATATAAAAGTTAATTCAAAACAGATTAGAGAACTTAATGCAAGAACCATACCTATAAAATATTGGGTTGGTCAGAAAGTCCAAGGTTATTTTTGTAAAATAAGAGATACTTTTCATTTTCACCAATAACTTTATTGTTTTGAATATATTGAGTATGCCAGCTACCTCCCATGTGGTATAACGTTGATTGTTCTCAATTAATGTCTTGATTTGATCACTATCAACTTCAACTGGTCTACCTGACCATGGAGCATCATCCAGTAAGAAATCTCCAGCAGGAAAATTCTCAAACCACTTTTGACACATTTAATCAGTCATAGTCATGGTACCTTCTCCATACACTGCACAAATCTTTTTGTGTGTGTTTCAGTTGTATTTTTACGTTTCTTGAAATAATAAAGCATAAAGTACCAAAATGTTACACATTTTCTTCCATCTTCAGTATTTACATCGCTATACAAAAATTCATCAATTTTGATGAGTTTTTAAAAATATGATGACAGGTGTCACAGTACAATCTAACAAATTTGTTTCAAACAATATTAAAGACAACTAAGCACTACTGGAGCCACCTTACAGAAAAAACAAATGGACGTTTGGCCAACCCAATATTTAGAAGAAAACATAGGTATATGAGGTCTGTCCAGAAAAAGTCCAACTATTGTTACTATAATGATAATGGTTTGCATGACATCAGTGTAACCTGGCAGCCAAGGAGAGTGGACTGGAATGTACACGTGTGTTCATTGTACTAGTCAGTGGGGGCAGTAGACGCCCTTGAGTGAGCATGAGTGCTGTGCGGCTGTTGCATTCAAAATGACTGAGCAAGTAGAACAATGAATCTGCATCAAATTTTGTGTTAAGCTTGAACATCCCTCCATGGAAACTACTTTGATGATTCTGAAGGCCACGGCTATGGGCAACTGGTGATTGGCAGCTTCATCAACAACGCGCCAACTCATGCATCACATCTCATGCAGAGGTTCTTGGAGAAACAGCAAGTCATTCAGGTGGTTCAGTCCCCCTGCAGCCCAGATTTGGTGTCCTGCAACTTCTGGCTTTTTCCAAAAACTGAAATCATCTTTGAAAGAAAAGAGATTTCAGACCATCAGTGAAATTAAGGAGAATATGACAGGGCAGCTGATGGCAATTGGGAGAACTGTGTCAGGTCCCAAGGTGCCTACTTTGAAGGGGACTGAGGTATCATTGTCCTATATACCATGTTTCTTGTATCTTGTATCTTCTTCAGTTAATGTCTCTATTTTTCATATTGCATGGTTGGATAGTTTCTGGACAGACCTCAAAAATCATCCAGATATTGGGTTGGACAATGCATTCTTAGATATCACATAGAAAGCTCAATGAACCTCTCTCAAAGTAAAGTTTTACTAAAATTTAAAACTTGTGTATTGAAAGACACTATCAAGAAAGTGGAAAGATAATCCACAACATAGGGGGAAGTTTTTGCAAATGACATACTTGATAATAGAATATTTATCCTAAAAAAGAATACTTAAAACAGCCAAAAAAGACAAATAACCTAATTTAAATACACATATAGCAAATGAAGAGATATTTCTCAAAACAAGATATAACGATGGACAAAAAAAAAAAAAAAAACACTTAACAGTCATTTGTCATTCGAGAATGCAGACCAAAACCATGAGATGTCATTTTACGTTTATATGAAATGTCCAGAACAGGGACATACATAGAGACAGAAATTAAATTAGTAATTTTCATGGGGTGGAAGTGGGATGTGCTAGAATTTATGAGATTGTATTCAAAGGTGGTGAAAATGTTCTAGAGCCCTGGCTGATGTGGCTCAGTGGATAGAGCGCCAGCCTGTGAACCAAAGGGTTGCCAGTTGGATACCCAGTCAGGGCACATGCTTGGGTTGTAGGCCAGGTGCCCAGTAAAGGGTGTATGAGAAGCAACCACACACTAAGGTTTCTCTCCCTCTCTCTCCCTTCCTTTCCCTCTCTCTAAAAATAAATAAATAAAATATTTTTTCAAAAAAAGAAAATGTTCTGGAGTTAGTGGTGACGATGTTACAAAATTGTGAATATACAAATACCCACTAAACTACACATCATAAAGGGCTCAGTTTCATGGCATGTAATTACATATAAATAAAAAGAAAATGTCCAGTTCTTTTCTTAAACCAAAGACATAAAGGAATCTTTTTCTTTATATTCATAGAGTATCTACTTTGTATGTGCCATTATTTCATGAATATTTTTAGTGAAGTGACTGTCCTTTCCCCAGTACATTCTTGGACCCTTGTCATCTACAGCTCTGTTCATCTGGGTCTTTGCACAGCAGCTGCAGAAAGCAGGATTTGAGATTTTTCTTGGTTTGCTTAAGCTATACTGTTGTTTTGCCTTCTAACAGACTAAAGAATAAATATGTAGTTTCAGAACTAGTAAACACCAGATGTTATAACAGTAGTCATAGATGTTATTTATTAAGTGCCTTCAATATGCCAGACTCTGTACTTTACATACATCCTTCACTCCTCTTACCAGGGTGATGTTTTGATCCACTTTGTACAGAAACAGACCTGAGGCTCAAGGATAAAGAACAGAAATGCTAAAATTAACCCTGGGTACAGTGAGATGAGCCCTGCCCGGTGCTCCCTGGGCGCCCTTGGCCAGCCGGGTTCCCCTCTCAGCCTCATCCCATAAGTGAGCCCACACGGGGCCTGCCTGCAGCCTGGTGGGAGGACGAGCAGCTGAGGGCACAGAGGCATCAGCCGAATATCAGGACGCCAAGAGACTCTCAACCCACGGTAACTGATCACAGCCTCTCATCCCCCTAGTGAAATCCAGGCTGCTAGGGTTTGTATAACTTGATTTATACAAGTGACGCCCTCCTACCTGTATCCTCAAAATGTTTGACGAGTCTTAGGAAGCAAGTTAGAGATTTACAAATGCACACACTTGTGAATATTTGCTTTCTGCCCCCTGTTAGAGAAGGTGTTGGGTAACCATTAATACTTGCGATGTACCCTGCAGAATCTTTCTACAAAGAGATTCACTCACTGTTGATTTGCTGGTGTGTGGGTGCTTTCAGGACACAGAAGGAGCCCTGCCTGTCTCATCGGCCTGTGTCTGGGTCTCTTCTCGTTTAATAACCATTAAAAAATTAACAACCTTTGGCATTCTCAGCCCTACATGGTCTTTGTGTTCAAGCCAAAACTCACCCACGGGAAGAACACAGATTTAGAAAAACATCCCATCTCTGCCCTTTCTTTCAAAATCAGGATTGGCACAGATTAGATAGACCCTGCCACAATGCGTGTAGTATGGATGAAAACTATCTAGTAAATTCAAAAATACCTGAAGGGAGAGCTCTGGATGTGAATTAAGTCTGGGTTCAAGATGGATCTGTGTTTCTTTATTTTTGTGAAGCCTCTTCCATTTTACTCAAAGGAAAAAAAAAAAAAAACTTCCATTGCCTGATTTAACCCTCATCTGCAGCCCCAGAACAAGAAATGCGTGCCATCCCCTTTCACAGGTGGGGAACAAGATGTGCCCGGCCACCCCTCTCCTCGGCTGCCAGCCTGGTTCCAGCTGTCATGGGGGTCCCTCACCCCACTGCTTCTCCTGCATGTACTTCTGTGATGTTTTCTCTGAGGTTTGGAAGGTTTTCAGAAATGGCCAGCTAGGAACAGTTAATAGAAAGAGTAACATCACTCAGCGATTCTATTCCTGAGCCCCAACCAGTGAGAAATTGCCTGGGGAGGAAAGGAGACGGACTGTGAGTTCGGGCCTGGAATTCCTGCCAGCCCTGCCCCTCACGCAGCATTCACTTCTGGGGACCTGAGTGTTCTCATATGTAAGTTAAAGATGATGACACCACCCCCAACATTATTAGAAGCATAAAAAGCAATTTCTATATTAGAAGTTAACAGTGTCACATGCTTATCACTAGGGTTGATAATCACAATCATTTTCACTGTTCAATATGCTCCTTTTACAGCCAACACTCGCCCCCCGTGGTATCAGCCCCCACGGGGAGGGCCGCACCTGGGCAGACGGTGAGCTTCACCTGCGAGTCCCATGGGTTCTCCCCCAAGAACATCATACTGAGAAGGTTCAAAGACGGGAACGAGCTCCCAGCCTCCCGGACCGCCGTGGACCCAGAGGGAGACAGCCCTTCCTACAGCGTCTCCAGCACAGCCAGGGTGCGGCTGGCCCGGGGGATGACTGCCCCCAGGTCATCTGCCAGGTGGACCACATCGTCCTGAAGGGGGACCCTCCTCTCTGTCAGACTGCCAACCTGTCTGAGGTCATCCGAGGCAGACGCCAACTACCCCCTCAAGACACCAGAGCGGAAGAAGGGGATCATCTGCACATTCTCCGTCTGCTGCACTGGCGTCCCCCTGACCTTGTGTGCACGTCTGGTGCCTTGACTCTTGTGGCTGCTGCTCAGGGGGTGCACCCGATGACTGACTGGGTTGGTGGCCATGGGACTTGCGTTAGTGGATCCCACAGGATTGTAGGAAACAAAAATGAACAGTTCTTAACTGGCCGTTCCCCAGAGGCTTAGCTCAGAGACAGCAGTTGAAACAGCCACCATTATCCTGTGCACTAAAACTAATGTGAAATGTTATATATCAATTATATCTCAATAAAACCGAGTAAAAGAAGCTGAATTGTTTTTATATAAAGGATTGTTCTTTATATGTTTTTGGTATTAATGCTTCTTATTCTGTTAGGAAATGATAGTGAAAGTTGATAATAGTTGGCTTCTTTTTAGCCTGTAATTAATAAAATTTTAAGTTGCCAAAATAAAAACAGAGAATCTACACTACTGCTTCAAACTGACCTAGGCCAATCTTACCATGCAAATTCAGTTGCTTAAGATAAATATTGATAGCCTTCAATAGCTCAGATAGAAAAGACTAGATTTTTCCCTCTACAACTTTACTATCCAGTCCTGTATTTCGTGAGAGCCAGCGTAAGTCTTGTCACACATACAAATATGGGCAAACTGATATAAGACAGAGCCAGTTCTGTGAATTCAATGAAGTTGAACTTATCTGTTTCATTCTACTGTTTCTTATTTTAACCTTTTTCACCACTGTTAATTATATTCACATTATTTTGAAATAGATCTCCAGAAGTTTTTCAGTTTTACAAACTGAAACTCTATAGTTATTTCCCCCCACCTTTACCTGTTGGTAACCACAATTCTGCTTTCTGCCTTCATGAGTAAGACTATTCTTGACAACTTATATACAGGGTCCAGCACAAACAACACTCCTTTTTTTATTACATAAAAGTCATATTACAGAACCATAAGCATGTAATTCTGCAACATAACAATATCACACTCAAGCACACCATATGACATTTTAGGAGAAATGTTCAAATTGCCATCAGTCTCATGCGAGACATTCATGTATCTTACCAACCGCAATCAATGCTGTTACCTCTGCTGGATCCTGTAAGTAGAACCATACAGCCTTTTTCCTTTTGTGTCTACCTTATTTCACTTAGCACAATGTCCTCGAGTTTCACTCATGTTGTGGCATTTGACAGAATGGCCATTGTGGGAAAGACAGATTAGGAAGGCTTTCATTTCACTCAGAATTGGGTCCATCCATTCGTCCATCCATCACCTATTTATCCATCCATCCGTCCATCCGTCCATCCATCCATTCATCCAAGCACGTATTCACTCACCCATTCACACTCTCATTCATCATACATTTACTTACACATACATCTGTAACCAATACCTACACCCTCCTCTGTGACAGCCCTTGGGCAGATGACCTAATCCTCAAAGAGCTCCCTGTCTCCCACAGTGGACTTCCTACAGGATTGTCTCTTTTCTCTGAGCTGTGTCTGTTCCCCTGCAGGGACAATGTGCCAGTTTTCACCTTCCTCAAACTTGATGGCTATTACCTGCCACATAAAGAGACTCTACCCACAGAGTGTACATGCATCTGCCTAGAGAACTGCTATATGTTCATGGTTGCTGAGCAACCCAAGTCCATGTAGAACCCACTGCCTCTAAAGCTTGCAGTGGGTGAATGTGTCATTGCAGGGGTCTGAGTAGGTGCTCACCTGTTTGATACAGAATGAGAATGAGACACAGCCTCCCGTCCAGCCAACCACATACTGTGACAGCAGCCTAAGCCACATGCAAGCTCAGTGGGAGTGCATGCAAACTCACTTCCACTCCTGGGAGCAAGTAGCTGGGTCACCTCTGTCTCCTGAGTGGAGAAAGGTATTTAAACTCACAAAGCTCCATTTGATGTTTCCTTCTGCCCATTTATATTTAGGTTCACAGACATCTGCCATTATTTTTATGGCTTTCCTTCTGGGCTTCAAGGTGCTGCTGCAGCTGCAGATGGTGGATCCTGTAACAGGTGAGTTGGAGGAAGTCCTTAGTCTTCAGTGAGGAAGGTCAGGGTAAACTTCATGGGCTGGCAAGAGGAGTCCCGGGTACACCCACATAGTCATGTGGTCATCACATGTCTGAATCAGCCTCAAGAGAAGGCTACGAATGCTTTTCTTTTTTCTAAGTGCCTTTGGAATGTCAGAGGCTTCCAACCCTTACACATTGTGTTATGCCCTAGAGTTTGAAGGTTTTCAAAATAAACTACTTGAAACCCTAGAGATGATAGTCCAAAGTATGGAGGTGGGGTGAAGGTCAAAGCTTCAAGACCCAAACTGCTAAGAGTCCCCCAAAAACTATTATATGTCATATTTCAGTGTTAATATGATGTATCTTTGGAATGAATAAGAAAGTATTGCCAAAGCCAACTACTAGAACAGACCCGAGAGACTTGGAGGTGCTGGATAGTGGCAAAGATGAATGTGGATGTGGAAAAGGGTTCAGAACTCAGAGAGAGGTGTTGGGGTGTGGTGAGTCGAGGCTTCCTTTCTGATCTGTGCCGCCAACCCAGGCCAAAAAGAGTGCCTGTCACTTAGCATATGCTCAATAAATATTTGTGGAATTAATACAGGAATGAATGACGGGTCTTTTTTTCTTCCATGAATGAATGAATGGTTTCCCTACAGTTCTTCTCCGCCCCTGTAATACATTGTCTCCTGTGCTGTCCAAGGGGCCCGGGTGGGGAGAAGAAGTTGCACAAACCTGCAGATTATCCAAGACCCCTGCCCTTTGCCCTGTCAAACCCACCTCCATCACAAGCACGCTCCTCCACACTGCCTCCTGACGCTCCTTCCTTCCGATAATAAGGCTGAGACAAGGGCGGACTTCAGTCGTGGGGACTCAGAAGCATGTGGGCCTTGATGCACTGAGCATCCCGCTGGCCCTGCCTCCACCCACAGGGGAACCAAGCGGGTGAGGAGAACAGGTTTTCATCCTCCCTGTTCATAAACAGCCCTTAATGTTCACAGCAGAGTTGTTTTTTTCCAGAGCTTTTACAAATATGATTTCATTTTAGCTATTTGAAATCACTGAGTTGAATCAAGTATTTCTGTGTTCTGAAATATGTAATGAATAATGTAAAAAATTATCCATGGACTCACTATTCTATCTTTCCAAAAAAAGGAACATTTTGCCAATATTCTCTGTTCCTTTTGAAGAAAACTGTTGGAAATTTGGTGTTATAGTTCTCCAGCATGATTTTATACTTTTACAACATATGTGTAAATCCTTAAGCAACAATTAATACTGCTTTGCATGTATTAACTTTTGTTTAAATGCTCTTAAACTGTATACAACATTCTGGAACTTTTTTTATGCTTAACACTGTTTTGTGTGTTCTAACAATGTTGATATATATAGCTCCATTTTCTTAGTTTTCCATGCTTTATAGTTTTCTGTTTTAAGATATGCTACAATTTGTATTGTATTAAAGCTTTATCTAATGTTTTGCAACAGACATTCCGATTTTTTTTCCATAATACATACAGTAGAGTCCTTCCTGTTCCTCTAGTGCGAGCCACAAAGAAGCAGGGTTGATGTCATCTGGGAGCTTTTGTTTTACCAGAAACTGTTTTCATTTTTTCATTAAGTTTTACGCTTTCTATTTATGCCTTTCAGATCATATCTATGCCTTTGATTTACATATATTTTACTAGTGTATATGCGTGCATATGTGCATGTCTGTGTTATAGGTGGTATGGATCATTATTTCTTTCACAAGGATAAATTACCCAGCATTCACTGATCCACACTGCCACCTTTGCTGTATATCAACTTTCCATCAAAATGTGGTTCTTTGTATGAGCTCTCTGCTCCATTGAGCTACTTCTCTCTTGTCAGAACTACTCTGTCTTAATTAAACTAGCTTTATAATTAGTTTTCATAACTCTTTTCAACAAATCTTTCTTTCCACCTTTTCTTGTTGTTCAAAATGGTGTGCTATTCTTGGCCCAAATGCATTTTATAGTGACTCTGTCATGGTTCATGATAAAACATTAGAATTATTATCTTACTTCATTGAGTTTTTATATTAACTTACACAAATTGATATCTTTCCAATATTGAGTTTTCTTGTTCATGGACATAGTATACCAGTTTTTAGGTTTTCTTTTAGGACTTTAGTTTACAATTTCACATGTCATTTCCCATAATGTTCTTAGGCATCTCTAATTAGAACTAACTTTAAAACTTCCTAGTCTGTGAAATCTTTAAAATTATAACTACTTTTTTCAATGGTTTTTGACTGCTGTTTAGTGTGGTAATTGATTTTGATCACTATTCATCCACCAAGCTTATAAACACTCACTACCACTAACAGTATGGACTTTCTTTTTATTTGCACACTTACAACACTAATTACCTAGAATTAGTTTCTTTCTTTTTCAGGGTTACGTATACATGTGTTTTAAGTGTGAAATAGCTTTACAAGTTCTACATGTGAAAGCTGGTATCTTTTTCACTTTCTACCATTTCTACCTCCAAGAGGCAACCATTTCCAACTCTGTTACCTGATTATTTTAGATTTTCCTCCCATACCTCATACTTCATACTTCTATGCACTTCTTGATTTCTGACTTTAGGATTCATTTAGCTCACAGGTTTTTGTGTGGACATTAGTCACACTTCTCTAAGATAAATGCCTGGGAGTATAAATATATTACACATCCTGTCCTGAACTGTGTAAGGAAATTATTCGTATTGTTGTATGGAAGCACATACTTTGGGAGGTCTGCACCACACTGTGCATTTGGGTTAAGTTTTACCAGTTTCAGCAATAAAAGGTAGAATATGGACTCACTTAGGAGAAGATCAGGTTCTGTCCCAACATTGACCAGGTTCTGGTGAAACTTCTTCCTTCTACCATCTGAGCAGCTCTTGGCCAGCTACTCCTAGGGTCCTGGACTTTGAATTTGGGACACAACCCACAACTGCAGCCCTTCTTGTCCTGAGCTCCAAGTGGGGCATCACCGAGAAGATCTCAGATGGGATGAGGGCCCGGTGGAGAGCAGAGGCCCCAGGCAGAGGCAGCACTATTCCCTGTAGGCCTGCCCAAGGCTCTCTGAGAATGAAGATAAGTAACTCCTCACCTAGTATTTGCCTTCTCTGCCTGATTCTATTTCACAACCTAAAAGCAGAAACTATCTCAAATCTAGAAGCAAGCTACTGTCTCACAGCCATTGTACCACATTCTGGGCACTTCCCCTTATATCACAGGAGTCGGGGCCTCTCTCCTCCCACAGAGCAGAGGCCAGGTTCTCCCAGCGCACAGGAGGATACAGCAGGCTCCTCAGGCCTCCAGGATGCCTGTCCCTGCCTCCTGGCCCCTCCCTCAGCCTTGCCTGCTGCTGACTCTGCTGCTGGGCCTGTCAGCAACATCTGTCTGTGCAGGTGAGCACATGTTGGGGCAGTATCTTCTCTTCCTGCCACTGGACTTCTTTTGTGGGTCCATCACCTGCACTCGGTTACCAGAGGTGACAAAACAGATGATGCTTCAAGTTGCAACAGTGACAGCTTTGTGCGTATTAAACGTGTATAACCATCACAACATTCTTTTTTGAGAGCTATAGCTATTATCCTGGATTTACAAATGGGGAAACTGAGACAGAGAGAGTAAGTTGCCCTATAATTATTAACTAATTTTACAGAGCAGCCAGGATTCAAGTCTGGGCTACCAGCTTCTAAGAACTCATTCTTTTAACCATGTTACATGGCTTCTCAGTAAAGATTGATTGCAAAAAAATCAGAAAACCCAGAGAAGTGAAGCAAAGAATAGTTATCTCCCATCAAGTCACTCAGAGACACCAGAGTGCAAATTCCATTGTCTGTCCTTGCAAACTTTTGTTAATTACATGTTTCATGGTTTCAGTGCGCTAAATATTTTACTAAGCTTTTAATATGTATTGCAATTCATTAACCCTCAAAACAGCCTGTGTGGTAACAGGCTAGGCCACACTTCTATATATATTTGTGATGCATTCTCTATGTGTGGGAGAGAGTTGTGTATGTCTATGAGTTGGTATGAGAAAGTTCACAAACACACATACACACATGAAATTTTAGAAAAGCCCTTTTTTTCAGTTGTCATCAAATTATTTTCATTGCACGTGAAATGCCCATGAACAAATCTTTAATTCTGTCTCAGACACCCTTCCCCTTTTCTGCTGCTCTACACTTACCCCTTACCCTCCTCGAGCTCAAAACAAGCAAGCTTCTCTCTTGGTAAAATGAGTAAGTCTTTCCATCAGTTAATGAATGGATAAAAGAAGGTGTGCTACAAATGTACAGTGGAATAATAGCAATAAAAAAGAATAAAATCTTAAAAGTTGTGACAACATAGCTGGATCTAGAGACTATTATCCTGAGTGAAATGGGTCAGAAAGAGAAAGACAATATCATATAATTGGCACTTTTTTGTGGAACCTCAAGAAAGAACACAAATGAATATACAACACAAAAGAGAAGCAGACACATATTTCTAGAGAAAACCTTGTCAAAGGAAAGGTGTGGGGCGATGGGAAAAGTAAGTAGGATTTTATGCATTGTTTCCTTGAAGCCTCTCTTCCATGCTGGGTAAGAACAGGTAGGAAAAACCCAGATGAGAGACACAGAGGCTGCTGCTATAAGCTCTATATCTATAATTATATCTATATCCATATCTATATCTTTATCTTAATATCAGTGGACACCTCAAGGCCTCAGGAAATTTAATGAATAATAACTTCTTAATTTTTGGAACATTCACCATGTGCAGACACCGTGCAAATACCTGTGGCTATTTTATCACATGATGATTACATCCAAGGCAGAACCTGTTGTCATCTTTACCCTACAGTTAAGAAAATGGAAGTAAAACCAGAGGTCAACTGAGTCTGGGGCTCATGCTGCCTGTCACCACCCAGCCAAAAAGCAGAGACAGGGACTGGATTCTAAGTGCACATTTGATACTGTCAGATGCTGGAAACCTGAGAAGGTGGTAGGTAAAAATCCTAACATCCACCTTCTTT